ATGATGCTCCGAGTGTTGTTGCGATTACTCAGCTACAAAATTTCTGAGCCAGTAATAACATTGCCTCACTTGTTACGTGTAGAAACCAGGTAATAGTACGTTGGTTAATGGCAGTAATGTTCGAAAAATGTTCGGAGCCATTTATAACTGTGTCTAGTTCTTAGATTGTTTCAAATATCTGACTCATGCATACGGCCATTCTTCTTGTGCGTCGTTACACTTCTTTCTTTCCTATTTTAGATACCGAGAGGGAACCCCGACGATGAAGCCACTCTGAAAGGCAGAAAGAGGAGTTGCTTATGCGACTCGCTGCCTACAATCGTGATGCCAACGGTCGAAAACCGGATTCTAAAACATGGGAGGATTGGGCGCAACATCTTCAACAGTTCTTTAAGGATCAAGTCACCCCTGCCAAAGTGCAGCAGATGAAAGTCTGACTCAAAGCCAAGTTTGACCATGAGCTTACATTACGCAATAACATAGGACTTGGCTGGGACCCTGTTACCGGTGCTGTGATGTGCACTGATGAATATTGGGAAGATTTTGCCAAGGTAAACGTCTAAACAATTATTGTTCTATGGGTAGTCAATTCTTGCAACATTTTGCCAAGGTCATTTTGTTTGCTCATTCATATGCAGAACAAGAAATGGGCAAAATCGGCAAAGAATCAGCCTCTTAAAAATTGGGACTTGTACTATGAGGCCTTTGGTGGTACGAGGGCAAGTGGGGCATTTGAGAAGGGATTGGATAATCCAACGAACATAGATGAGGGTCCAGTACACATCTCTGATGAAGAAAGGGCGACATCTGATGAGGGTGGCAGCGAAGATGGTTTCATTGCCTCCATGCGGGTCAGTTTGAACAATGCAGCTAGAGGTCTCAACATTGCGTCGTCCTCGAAAGCGATCGGCAAGAAACCAGCCAAGTCCTCACATAAGGTAATATGTGACCCTGTAGCGAGGGATTTAATCGGCAAGCTTGTCTCTTCTATTGAAAGCAAGCGTAGTAGTCGCACTAAAAGCTCTAGTGCGAATCAAGCTGCGCCTATTGTCGATCTCCAGGACCAATGCCAGGGCATAGTTAGGGAAATGGCGCTTGATGATGAAACCGCAATAATGTTTTTGGAGGCTATTGCTTGGTATCCAAATATGCAGAAGCTGTTCGTGGGAATGAGTGATACTCAACGTAACTTCTTCGTGACAAGAACAATCAGTATGTCTAGGACTCAATCACATGGACCTTTCTCAAACCCCCATGCCTCTACGGGGACACAGTTTATGCCGCCACAATTTCCCAACTTCATGTCACAACCCAGCAGCTATATGCAACCGGCTCCCTTCTATGGCCAACAACCCACCAACAATATGCCACGGCCCCCAAACTTTGGGGGACAACAACCTGTCCCACCATTTCCTACAAATCCCCAAAACTATAATCCCCAACAACCGGCTGCGTATAATCCCCAAACACCATACTACATGCCTCACTTTCTGCCGCAACCAGGACACTTTGGTGGCGATGGCAGTCCGGACTAGCATTGAGTTCCATAAAATATTGTTTTTACCATTGTCTGTATTCATACAATTGAACATCATTTCTCATTTTTAGATTTCAACATAGTATTTGAGTAGACTTTGCTAATTATGTTTACTACGGCCGTGCTAGTGTTGTATTGACTATGGTTATTGAGTTGCATTGCGCAGAACAATATTTATTGATGTACTATGTGTAGTCACCTTTACTTGCGGATCAAATGACCATTTCATATATATTCGTTTGTTATCCTTTCATTATGCATGTCTCGCAGGTAGCAATGTGGAATGCAGGTCCCTCAAACCACGTTCCTGAAAATGATGATAGTGACGACTCAGATGACGGTTATGAGATTGCAGCAGTAGCAGTAGTTTTGTGGTATTACTACACATACATGGAAAGGCCACTGCCTCAACCAAAGCATACCTCCGCTCTCACAGGTATAATGCGTGTTCAATACCTACTTGATGGACATGAGGCTGTTATTAGGTTGAAGATTAGAATGGGAAGTGATTGTTTCAAGCGTCTTAGTACGTTGCTTGAGCTTAAAGGGCTTTTAAGACCGACTAGGAATATGAATGTGCACGAGCAACTTTTTGATGTCCTTTACTGTCATAAGCCAAGTTTGTTGCATTGTTTTGTCCCTCTGCCTAAACCCGGTGGATGATTACCCTGCCAACTCCACCCATTTGTCGTTTTCATTGTGTCTCCCTTACTTTGATGTCGTTTACACTAAAGTGTATAGCATGTTCATTTTAAATTCTTGAAATGAAGTTGTGTAATGCCTCTGCATAATTTTGTGTAGTTGTTTAAGCTGCCTCACGTCAAATGTTTGCAAGACTATTTAACATTGGCTTATCTAGGTCCAGAAAATGAAGATAAATCCAATGCAATATCTTGTGTAAGTGGTGAGTTTAGTTGTGTGCAAGTGAACACATAACTCAAGTTTTAAATGTCACATCAATCTCTTACTAAACACTTAACTCAAAATTCACATTACAACTCCAATTAAAAATAACTCAAGTTCACTTTTCTTATTCGAATCATAAAATTAGAGTTAGTGAAGTAAACGGGCCCAAAATACGTGTAACAGCACGTATAGTGGGAGTTCTAGAAAAGGAACTGCACGGAAACAATGGAGGAAGGATAAAAAATGATATATGTTTCTCACGCAAGAGACAGAGATTGAGGGCTGTTCTTTTGTCCTTTTTAAGTTAAGTGATTTGAGTGTAGATTTTGAATTGAGTTTAAATTATAACTTGAGTTAAAATTGTAATTTGAGTTTTGTGTTTAATTGTGTACATTTGAGTTATAGTTTGAGATAAGAATCTTTTTGAGTTTGTGTTTGAGTAAGTCAAAACTTAAATTTGTATTTAGATAGTATTTTAATAAAAACTCAATACTGATGAAAAATTTTAATAAGGTATATGAGTGAAGTTTTATTCGTCTTCAAGTTGTCAACGCATAAAAAAAAATCATCTCAATCAGAATTAAAACGAAAAAGTTATAGCATTTTTAAGAATAGAAAAAATATTGTTCATTAATTTGAGTTTGAGTTTCTGAACTCGAGTTGAAGGAGAAACTTGAACTCGAGTTTTAGTCCCAAGCTCGAGTTCAAACTTAAAAGAACATAAACTTGAATAAAATTGTAACTTGAGTTGCTTTTTTTTGAGTTTTTAACTCAAGAAAATGGCTGCCAAACAGCCCCTAATTTTTGCACGATTTTGACAGAGTGAGAAAGAAAAAAAAACCAAAGAAAATCTCTTGAGTGCAATTATATACTTTTGAGAAAAGTAAGTGATAACCACATGTGATTTTTTTGTTCATCGAAACTCATTAAAACGCCCACACGTTCGAGTTCACGTTAATCCGAAAATACATTGAGAATGAACTGTGGTGTTCTTAAAATTTAATTGCTCAAGACGGTATTGGAAGAGTTCAAGATTTACGTCATAATCGAACGACGGTAAAATTCTTCTCTTTAATATCTTTATAGTTAAATTAACATGAAATAATGATCGCATTAAATTTTAATTTATGTAATTCGATCGATACCACGTTTCTGCGTAATTTTTTTTTTGAAAATCCGGTTTGAGAAACCAACAGTAGCCATCAAGAATCAGAATTCTATAGGAAAAGTTGACAAAATACAAGATCGAGAAAATCTATAAATCCAATGCAATATCTTGTGTAAGTGGTGAGTTTAGTTGTGTGCAAGTGAACACATAACTCAAGTTTTAAATGTCACATCAATCTCTTACTAAACACTTAACTCAAAATTCACATTACAACTCCAATTAAAAATAACTCAAGTTCGCTTTTCTTATTCAAATCATAAAATTGGAGTTAGTGAAGTGAACGGGCCCAAAATACGTGTAACAGCACGTACAGTGGGAGTTCTAGAAAAGGAACTGCACGGAAACAATGGAGGAAGGATAAAAAATGATATATGTTTCTCACGCAAGAGACAGAGATTGAGGGCTGTTCTTTTGTCCTTTTTGAGTTAAGTGATTTGAGTGTAGATTTTGAATTGAGTTTAAGTTATAACTTGAGTTAAAATTGTAATTTGAGTTTTGTGTTTAATTGTGTACATTTGAGTTATAGTTTGAGATAAGAATCTTTTTGAGTTTGTGTTTGAGTAAGTCAAAACTTAAATTTGTATTTAGATAGTATTTTAATAAAAACTCAATACTGATGAAAAATTTTAATAAGGTATATGAGTGAAGTTTTATTCGTCTTTTCGTTGTCAACGCATAAAAAAAAATCATCTCCATCAGAATTAAAACGAAAAAGTTATAGCATTTTTAAGAATAGAAAAAATATTGTTCATTAATTTGAGTTCGAGTTTCTGAACTCGAGTTGAAAGAGAAACTTGAACTCGAGTTTTAGTCCCAAACTCGAGTTTAAACTTAAAAGAACATGAACTTGAATAAAATTGTAACTTAAGTTGTTTTTTTTTGAGTTTTTAACTCAAGAAAATGGCTGCCAAACAGCCCCTAATTTTTGCACGATTTTGACAGAGTGGGAAAGAAAAGAAAAACCAAAGAAAATCTCTTGAGTGCAATTATATACTTTTGAGAAAAGTAAGTGATAACCACATGTGATTTTTTTATTCATCGAAACTCATTAAAACGCCAACACGTTCGAGTTCACGTTAATCCGAAAATACATTGAGAATGAACTGTGGTGTTCTTAAAATTTAATAGCTCAAGACGGTATTGGAAGAGTTCAAGATTTACGTCATAATCGAACGACGGTAAAATTCTTCTTCTCTTTAATATCTTTATAGTTAAATTAACATGAAATAATGATCGCATTAAATTTTAATTTATGTAATTCGATCGATACCACGTTTCTGCATAATTTTTTTTTGAAAATCCAGTTTGAGAAACCAACACTAGCCATCAAGAATCAGAATTCTATAGGAAAAGTTGACAAAATACAAGATCAAGAAAATCTACAATGCTCTAAATACGGAAACTAACTCCAATCGTCAAACTAAGAATGGTGGATGCCCAATATATAAAACGAAGTCTTCCTTTAGCCCCAAGCGCATCATGGCACACACATTCTTCATGGCATAAGCCTCTCATTCATTGAAACCACCATTCTCTTCTCCATTATTGACTCTTTAAAGTTTTATCAAGTTCTCTCTTGTACTATTTTCTCTCTGCATAGTGAAAAACACAAACACTACAATGAATATAACTCATACATCAATCGATAGTAAATAACTATAAATTTTAGTGTCTCTTTATTTTCCGCCCTTCACTTATTCATTCACATGGTAGATCAAACTTAGGCATACAGATCAACATCTAACAACTCCCAAAATTGATCATTGGCCCTAATACAAATTGGATGTAGGATTTCATCCTCTACAGAAAATAAAAAAAAAAATCTAGACGGTTCATGAAAAAGGAAAGTAAATAATACAAATTGGATGTAGGATTTCATCCTCTACAGAAAAAAAAAAAAAAAAATCTAGACGGTTCATGAAAAAGGAAAGTAATAAATATTTAGAATAATACTTACTTTCTATGGAGAGTTTTGTACTAAGGCAATCACAGCAAAACATGTCATATACAAATCAAAAGACTTATTTAATTGAAATTAGAAAATTGACAATCTAAATTAGTATGAATTGATTGGGTATTTTTTTTCTTTTCTTTTTTGGATTGAGAGTTTGGGGTTTTTCTATATTTTAAGGTGAAGTCAAGTGTTAATTTATCACTAGCTTATGCCTTCAACCTCTCTCTCTCTCTCTCTCTCTTTTCTTTTATAATTTACTAAAGAAGTTTCTTTCCTCTAATAAATCTTTAATTTATATAATTTTGTCTCTGATGATTCCTACGGCTAGTGATATAACATATAAGTACGACAAAAGTAGAGAAAAGGATTATACCTCCAAAAACCCGTAGATTCACTGAGAATGTTAGACTATAGGATATCTACTAGCATGCTGATTCGCTCATGAATGATAAGAAAATAAGAAAGTACATTATAGTTGCTGAGTATCATGTGAATGGAACATCTTTTAGACATCGAAATTTCCGTGAGTTCAAGATAAATGCATTGGATTCATTCTATTCTCCCACGTCTTCCTTTGTTAGAAAGTGTTGTTTATGCCTTTAGGAAAAAATGTCACTGCAAGAAAAAGAAAAAAAATTTTCCCCGTTAAAAGTTAAGGGTCGCTGCAAAAAAGCTATAGAGAGGAAAAATTACCTCGCTGATTCACCGCAACAACTTCATAGCTATAGACTAGTAGCAGCGATTTTGAAATTGTGAACTCGCCGCTATATTTATATGACATTTATTTTGATTACTTTTACAAAGTTTGTAGCAGTGAAAATTTTTCCTGCTATAGAATTGGCTTTTTTTCTTTAAAAATAATGGAAACCCTGTTTATTTACATATACATTTCTAAAAATTCCAACCGCTCTGTTTTTCATTTTTCCAAACTTAAGCCTTCAACATTTTCAATATCTGCTACCTCCATTAATCTTAGACTCGTTCTTTGTTTCTCCTACACCAGTGCCTTTCCTACACGCCCACAACACAATACATTTAAGAACCAGAATACCACATATAGCATTTGCAACTAAAAAATCTATAACCAAACAAAGATGAACGTAATGAGATATGGATGAACGCAATTCGACATTTTTAAAACCAAAGTAATTACCCAAGATGATGAAATTCCAAGCAGATGCATTTTTATCCACAACGAATTCAGTTTCCTGAAGCAAGCTCATACTTTATAAACAAAAAGCAAATCTTCCCACCTGATAAAAATACCAAAACAACTCAGAAAGAAACCGAAAAGTATAACACACAACTTTCAAAGAAAAAAAAAAGAAAAAATCAGCCAAGAACAGAGGCGTCAGTAGACAAAAACTCCCCAAATTTTCCTCTAATTTCTTAGATAGCAGAATAAAAAACAAAATATTGCATTTACAAAAAAAAAAAAAAAAATCCTTCATCAAGATAGAAACTTACCTAAAATTTTCCATATCAGGGAAACTAATCTCCCCAATCTTTTCTACATCAATAGCACCATTTTGACCCAAATAGGCAAAAATCAAGATCTGCAAAACAAAAAATTGAGAAAGTTGATTGCACACAAATTTGCAATAAAATATGCAAAACCCACATGAACTAAAGTGTGGGAGAGGGTTTAGAGGGAGTATAAGGCCAGGGAGTTTTTGGACGGAGAAGGGGAGAGAGAGAGTGAGAGAGACAAAAATATATTTTTGCTTTATGTGAGGACGTTTCCTCACTCTCCTCTCCTTTTTTGTTCAGAGGAAACGTCCTCCTCCTCCTATATATATATATATATATATATGAGAAATGGGGAGAGATTAGGCCCCGTTCACTTCGCTGATTCGAGTTTAGAATTTGAGTTTTTCTACAGTAAAAAGCTCTCACAAACAATCACATCTAACTTATATATATATATATATATGAGAAATGGGGAGAGATTAGGCATCGTTCACTTCGCTGATTCGAGTTTAGAATTTGAGTTTTTCTACAGTAAAAAGCTCTCACAAACAATCACATCTAACTTTTTTGCTACAGTAAAAAGCTCTCACATAAAGTCACATCTCAACTCGAATTCTAAACTCGAATCAGCGAAGTGAATGGGGCCTTAAGAGTGTAAGAAAATTTTTCTTTTTTCTATAAAAGTCACTAGATTCATCTATATTAATTTAAAACAGTTTTGAATTAATTTTAATATTAATTAATTAATATGTGTATTTAAAATTTTCAATTCTAAATTAAAAATCATAATCTAATATGATATGTATAGTTCGCATTAATCTTATAGAACCGTTAAGAGAAATTATGGACATTATAATTTTAAATTTGAATAATTTTGACAATTAATTAATACATTAATTAATATATCAAAATTATTAATTCCAAATAACTCCACTAAAAATTTAGAATTGCACTCTTAAAATTATAAAACAATTATGTTCATGAAATTTGTGTTGTCCATTGATATAGTCACTACATACGAATTAATCCTCTATAAACAGTTCAGAATTAAAGCTAGGTATTTTCTGTTGACCTCTTTAATTATATCTTTCTCCTTAAGTACCATTGACACTCTAATGAATAATATATTTTATGATCCAATCATAAAATTGAGCGCTCTTATTATTCAAGTCCCGAATCAACACTTACAGGAACCGTCAATCTACTTCATTATGAAGGAATGTATTTTATCTTGTAAATTAATATTCCTGGCTATTTATTTTACTATGCTCCCAATATACCAAGGTTTTGACACTATTCATATGTGTCATTACTCAATATGTCAAAGAACATAATATCATAAATAGAAGTCTATTAATTACTCATAATTAAGATTAATTCATATATGACCATCATTGATATACACTCTATTTAATAATGAAATTTATTAAAGATTCATAATTAATCGCGTTCATGTCCTATGTAATCATATTACATAAAATGCTTTCATTATAATAATCTCATTTTTAACAATATAGGATAAGATTGTTTCATTCAGAATGTAATGAACCGCATTAGTTATTTTAAATTAAAGATCTCAACTTTAATTTATAATTACGGAAAAATTTAGATTATCTTACTTCAAACATTATACTCTGCATATAATACTTATATACAATGTTTAAAATTACATTTAAAATAATCTAAGGATTTTGATATTTATAAAACATCACATGCATGCAAAATAATATTGAAAAAATTTCTCATTTCATTGATAAGCAACAAAAATATTTACATCTTATTTGATTGATGGGTATATACCCTAACAGCCAGGACATCATTGATTTCAATTTGCTGAGTGCCCAAAATCTTGGAATGGAAGATTTCTCAAAAATTATCAGAATATTCTCATCTGCTCTGCCGCCATAATCAATTTTAAATTTGCAATGGTTCTGAAGTCATGATCTTGGATCAGAGTCGTTTCCTTATTTACTTTATTCACTGATGATCTTTAAATTTAACTGACTCAAGTGACACGTAGATGATAAATATTTAGGGATGAAATATGTCCTCAACATTTTCTCATAGAATTTGTCAAATTATTGTGTTTAATAGTTGTGGGAATCACTTTTAATATATTGAGTATTGAGTTTAAATCTTATGGACGCAATTAAAAGGGCAAAAAAAAAAGTGAGCGTATTAGAAACTTTCCAAACTTACACAGAACACAGAATTTGGACTAGACTCAGAATGTTCAGAATGGCGCAACATCAGCGCAATGCTTTGAGGTAGCGACGACGTCCCAGCAATTAATTCTGCACCCGTTAATTATAATGGCATTAATTGATCAAGATACGAGGGCAATAAATAATAGGGATCTGTAATCATTAAAAGCAATATGAATTAAATAAGGGCTCTCCAATATTAATTATATACATTTGATCATGTTCATTAATTATCGTATATATACCTGGAGATTCTTTGCACACCCATTGGTTGGAAATCAGTATGCAACAAAAGCTTCATCATCTTTCATAATTCAAATATATATGTCGAAGTTGACAACGATTTCAATTAGTGCTGGTTAGACATGGAGGGACCCCAACACTGACCCTGACATCAAAGTACCAAACCACCATGGAAAACTAGAAACAAAGTTGACATCGATTAGTTCTCCATATTAATGCTAGCTATTTATGAATTATTAGCCTAGCTATATATATACAATATATTATATATGTATATATATATGTGTGTGTGTGTGTATATACGTGTGTGTATATACGTGTGTGTATATATATATATATAATATATATAGACACACACACAGACGTAGACTTATTTCACTATGGACAGAGTAACTAGTATGCTATGTTGCAAGGGAAGAAAAGTCACACAGAAAAATGTATGTTAGTATTTGATAACATGATACATCACATATATGTCAAATAAATCTTGTGAAAGCTTAATGGAAAGATAATCATTACAAGAAAAATATGGCTATTAGCGACGACAAAAAGTCATTTTCAAAAATAGAGAGTCGTCACAAATGAATTTTTAGCGACCACTCACTACAAGAAAAAGGCGTTTTTGCGACGACTTTTTGTCGTCGCAAAAACTCCTGTGTTGTCGCAAATAATAGGTTTAGCAATGACATGTCGTCGCAGATATGTCGTCGTAAAAAATTAGTTGCAAAAACTTTTTTTGCGACGACATATTTTTTTTGCGACGACAAGCGTCGCTAATACGCCGTTATGAAATTCACGTGATATAATATTTTTTGCGATGATAAATTTCAAAATGTCGTCGCAAATATTCTTCTTTTTTTGCGACGACACGTATCAAAAAGTCGTCGCAAAAAACTGGAATAAAATTTTTTTTTTCAATTTTTTAAAAAATGGCAATTAATTAATTTTTAATAATTTTAATTAAATGTTATTATGTTACATACTGAATATAATTTATTAAGATACATTAAAAGTGAAATATAAATTAATATTAAAAACAGTAAATCTAAATAAATTTATAAAATATATTATGAATACTACATGAAGTGCATATATAATGTTCAAAAAAATATAAAAGTCTAAATAAAGTGAAAAATAAAATAGAACATATAACGGAACTATTCGTCTAAGTTTGCAGCATCGCCAACAGCTGAATCATCATCAGGACTGTCATCATCTGAAGGAGGCAGAGGAG